GCCAGCTTTTTCCACCACGATCCCCTTCCCCAGTGCAGCCTTACCTACACTGGAGCTTGTCTCCTCTGCTTTTGCAGCCCAGAAAGACAACTGCATCCTGGGCTGCATCAAAAGAAGCATGGCCAGAAGGTCGAGGGAGGTGATTCTGCCCTTCTGCTCCACTCTTGTGAGATCCCACCTGGAATATCGCGTCCAGCTCTGGAGTCATAAGAATGACACGGACCTGTTGGAGTGAGGGCAAAGGAGGGCCATGAAGATGATCAGAGGGCTGGAGCACCTCTCCTATGAGGACAGGGTGAGAGAGTTGGGGCTGTTCAGCCTGGAGAAGAGAAGTCTCCAGGGAGACCTTATAGCAGCCTTCCAGTATCTGAAGGGGGCCTACAAGAAAGCTGGAGAGGGACTACTTGCAAGGGCGTGCCATGATAGGATGAGGGGTAACGGCTTCAAACTGGAAGAGGGTAGATTTAGATTGGATATTAGGAAGAAATTCTTTACTGTGAAGGTGGTGAGGCACTGGAACAGGTTTCCCAGGGAAGTTGTAGGTGCCCCATCCCTAGAGGTGTTCTAGGGCCAGGCTGGTAGGGCTTTGAGCAACCTGGTCTAGTGGAAGGTGTCCCTGCCTATGGCAAGGGGGTTGGAACTAGATGATCTTTAAGGTCCCTTCCAACTCTAATCATTCTATGATTCTATGAAATCCCATTATGTCTTCTGCTTGCTGTAAAAATTTCTGCACACTCCTTTGGTTTTAAAATCTTCTGTGGCCAATTTGCCTATTGCCCTTATTACCTTCAATCTCTCCCTATATAAATCCTCACTATTAGAAACCTTGAAACTGTGTGTTTGGGATTAGGCATGTCCTGGTTTGAGCTGGACATGACAAGGCACTACCTTCATACTAGTAAGTGATCTCTGAACTGGAACACTGTCTAAGAACATAATTGGAATTACATATTGAGAACTGTATTTTAATAATAAAAAGAAAACTCAGATTTTACCAGTAGGTGGTGCTTCTGTACAAAGCATTCACCAGATGCAAGTGATGTCATTTTCTCCCTAGGACATACAATGCTATTCACTCTCCTCCCCGCCTACTTCAGCTTTCTCTGCCATAACCTGCCCACAAAAAGGAAATGAATTTAGAATCGGTACATAGCTCATCTTTTTAAAAGTTTTAGAGCAACAGTTTCTCTTGATGTTTGCAACATCCTCTGAGTTAGGTTCTCCGACGTGCAAATCAATATACTCTTCTGATACCTTCCACTACTTTTCAGCTTCTCTTTGGTAGTTTATTCATAAAAATTCTGTTGTGAATTATGAATTCATACATTTATACCATAAAATCATATCTAAATCCTTACTTGTCTGTGGTATTATATTCATGTTAATCCGAGGACCAGTAAATTTAGCTGCATTCCAAAAGGTATAACATGTACAGAGCCCAAATTTTTGTTATACAGTTTGTATCTAAAGTTGCATGTCAAAATTAACAGTGATAAAAATGTTTGGTGCATTTGAACTAATCAAATTAATCCCAGCAGAAAGTCCATGCCTCCCCTGTCTCAGGCAGTGCATACACACACACAAGCGTTAAAGAAACCTACACGTGGTTCAAACAGTGCAAAGGCTCAGCTTCCAAAATTTGTTATGAAAAATATGTTGATATGTTATTTGTTATGAGAGAATGAAAAAAAGACTTTATTTCAATCCAAGGCATATCCCAGAGCCACTCAAGAGAACTGTATCTGTTGTGATGTTTTCATCTCTGATTTTTTTTCACAATACCTCCTAGGAAACAGTCCTCGTTCTCTCAGCATCCACCAGTACTGCATGAGCCTTTACACTGATGTTTTTTGTGTTTGTGCATTTCCAGGGGCTCCACACCTCCTCAGTCTGTAACTGTGTTTCCTTTCTTCCTACAGAGCTTGCACTAACACTCATTTATCTCTAAGTACAAATAGCCATCTGCCTTCTACTCAAAGCTTCAACATCAAGTCAGAACCTGTTTCTCCTCCTAGAGACCATACCAACACACCCTCAAGATCATAGAATCATAGAATGGTTTAGGTTGGAAAGGACCTTAAAGATCATCGAGTTCCAACCCCCCTGCCATGGGCA